GCACATTTTTTATGTGTCTGGCTAGGTGACAGGGGCACAGAATTGCAGTCTGTGTCTGACACTCAGTAGTGTCCCTGTGGCACCGCTCTCCTGTTCTTCCTGCCTTCCATTAGCTAGGCATGTTTGCTCCATCACAGCCTTCCACCATCACATTTCTGCTGAGGAGCCAGTGACCATGGACTAATCAGTGTAAGCCGCAGAAACCTTTCCTTCTTAAGATCTACCATACATTGTGTCCCAAAGATGGGAAAGCTGTTAAGAATAACATAGTTGTTGAACTCATTTTCAAGATTTCGTTTTAAGTCTACCAAGTTGTATAGAAATAGGGAGGAATGAGACACTTTACAATACCGAAAGAGAGCACAACTTTTGTTACCATTGCCTTGAAAGTGTCACACACATTATTAGAGTGAGAGAGTCTAAGTGCAGACCAGCTTTTAGGAAACTAACAGTTGTAACAAAAAAAATTCACACAGATGCACCTGTATGTTCAGATAAGTATTTTAACAATAGAGACATATTTGATGATAGAACAATCTGCCATGTTGCATCCTTTAGATTTTGATCTAAAAATCATAACCTATACAATGATTCATGCTTCATGATAAGGTGTTTGGGGAGGAAATTCTCCAATACATCATTCCTACAAATCATCTTGTATTAGCCAGTCAAAAAGTTTATGAATGTTTGAGCTAAGTACAGTAATCACTCATCAATTTTCCTGTGTTATTTTCTTTAATCCTACAGAGATAAAATGATGAGGAAAGGCCAGGCAAGATAGCACTTACCTATAATTCCAGAAGACTGGAAAGCTGAGGCATCATAGCTGTCAAGTTTGAGGCAAGCATGGGAAAGTTAGGATCATCCTTTCTCAAAATAAAATGAAAATGGCTGAGGATGTAGATCAGTGGTAGAACGTTTTCCTAGCTTTCATGAGGCCCTGAGTTCAATCATCAATATAGAAAAAGTGATTGAGGGCCAGCAAGATAGCTCAGTGGTCTAAAACACCTGTTCAGGCAAGCATAGGCAAAGTGTAGGGACCGCAGTTTGGTCCCAGGCAGCACATACAGCGCTAAACCCAACCCTAGGGCAGTCTGAGCTGGTCACAAAAAAACAAAATAAAAAAAAGAAAGAAAGAAAACAAAAAAAGAAAAAAAAATTGAGAAAATTTGAAAATATAGCTCAGTAGAACAAGCATTTGCCTGGCAAGCACAGGGTCCTGAGTTTAATCCCTGGTCCAGCAAAACAAAACAAAACAAAACAAACAAACAAATAAACAAAAAAACATATTATAATAGAAATACAATACAGTGTTAGAATATCTGGATCAAAAGGAAATTTTAGAGACTCTCCAGCCCACTCTTTTTATCAATGCAAAATATTTTCAACTTCAAATTATTATGATAAGATTAAGTATAGTTAGATGAAAAGTGAATATTATTTTACATATCCTCCTATTAAACTGCAAGTTCCATAAAGGCAAATTTTAGATTATATTCCTAATGCTTTATAAGATACATAGTAGCTTGAGGATAAACATTGAGTGAATAAATAAAACTAAAGCACAGTAAGTATCCAAGGTCTCAAAGAATTAGTAAGCCAGTCACACTGAGCTCTAGTTAACTATAAATATTCTTATACTTCAAAGTCTTAAAATGAACATAAAGAAGTAGTTTGGTGCCCACAGGAACTCTTTCTATCTAAAAACCTGTGTTAGGGCCGGGGAGATTGCCAGATAGGGCCTAGCAAGTGCATGGTCCTGAGTTCGATCTTTGGAACTGCAAAAAGAAGTCTGTGTTTATATATTCACCAACAATTTCCATTGTAATGTGTACTTATTATTATATATTGTTTGGTAATAGGTATTTATTAACTTTAAAGATAATTCACAGAAATTATCCTTATAAAATATTTTTGCAACACAACTTTCAGATTTAAAAGCTTGGAATTTAAATGATTTTTCCATGCAAATATGTTATTTCTTGCAAAGAAATTTTGGTATGAATGATAAATATTTCATCACCCATTATTATCTGAAAACCTAGTGCATGTAAGTTAAATCATTAGTTGAAAAAAATTATGTTCAGAATGACTCCACAGAAAAGGAATCTAATCTTTTTTATGATTTCAACTTTGTAAAACCCAGTATTGTGTTGAGTTTTAAAGAATAATATAGTAAAATAATTCCATTGGTACTTTTCCTTACATGATCTGTTTGAATATCCAAGAATGCCTTCAGAGAAGGCGGTAATCTAGTAAGTATATGTACATTGTTATTTTCTATTTCCAAGTAAACTCTTTGTTATGGTTTGTGTCTAGTTGTTCCCCCAAAACCTCAGGCAGTCATGGGGCAGTTTCTAGAGCTTGTGACTAATTCATGACCCAGTGCTGGGATTATGGGTGTGAGTGCTAACTTGCCCTGGGGCAGAGAGCCTGAACACAGTAGAAGGGAGAGAGGTTTGCTGGCTACTGCAGTCCCTGCTTCTCCCTACGCTCTTTGCTGTTTTCTGCCTCCATGAGCTGCTGCCCTCTGCCATGTACCACTCCCCCTTGGAGCCAGTTGAGTACTGCCTGAAACCTCCAGTAACTATGACCTAAATAAACCTTTACTTCCTTAATTTTGGGTGAGAGAACAGTAGCTCAGACATTCTTAGTTCCTTGTAAAGCCATCTTTCTGGAAAAAATACTCGCTATACCAAATTTACACATTGACTGTCAATAGAATGATATGTTATAATAACAAATTCTCAAAATAATTTTTCAAAACATAACTCTTTTCTATTATAAAGAAAAATCTTAAATTAAATAACATCAAAAGTCGTAATTCAGTGAGCAAAAAATACAAAATATTTATTCAGCTACAATGTTTCCTTTCATATATAGCTTGTTCTTTGAAATGGTAATATTCATCAGTAAAAATGAATATATCTGAGCACTTTTATTTCAAACAAAAGAAGAATATCAAAATAGAAAATTATTTTTGGCTTCTTCTGAAACAACATATTGTGAAGAAAAAAGCAGTGTTTTGATCATCTAGTTTCCTTCCTCTTGATAAAACCCTATGAAAAAGAATTCATAATTCATAATTCCTTAGAAATCAAGAAATAGGATAATAGATATCGGAGGGAGAGAGAACAAGAGACTTTCAGTCCCTGCTTTAGTCATTCTGAGAAGCAAATGAACAAGTTGAATACTCTAGCGGTACAGTGTTCCAGAGATCAAATATGACATGAGAAAGTAAGAGCAGCTGGGCCTGCTCATGGTAAGCAGTACAAACTGTAAAGGAGCATAAGCTGTGGCATGTGGGTGCGTGTGTGTGTGTGTGCATGTGTGTGTGTGTGCGTGTGTGTGTGTGTGTGTGTGTGTGTGTGTATGTGTGATTCAGTTGAGAAAATCAATTTTGTAATCCAGGAATCTCTTTTCAGGAAGATAACAAATCCATATTCAAATACACTCAGGATTCAGGGTCATTCAATCATGTCTTATTCACACTTCAGTAAAGAATTCACCCTCTGCTGAAGCGCTCGAAGGACAGGTACACATACACATCGTATAGCTCGGTGTATAATTTCTAGGTTCTGCCTTAAGAGAAAATGTGTGGGGTGAAAATTCTAATAATAATGAGTTATAAGATGAGAGAAACTAGTATGTTTTCAAATTTTCATTTATTAAACATATATTCAATAATTATAAATTGTCATAACAATTTCTTAATTTGAATGGCACATATGTAAAAGATTGAATATTCTTGCAAATAAGTGTCTTCTTTAGAATTGTGTTAATTCTTTGCTGTATTCCTTATCTCATTTTTTTCCACATAGTTCAATTATTTTCTCCATTCTAATTGTATATCTGTTTCACCAGTTTTTATCTAATGTAGTGTTTAAAATGTGATGATGACAATTTTAGAGACATTTCATTAGCTCCAAAAGAAAATAAATTCCTTTGACTTAGGCAAATATCAAAATCACAAACTATGGCTTTATCACGAACTTTTACAAACATATGGCAAGGAACTTGTCACAGAATGAAATAATTTCTACTGATACTAACTTAAGATTCTTCACATATCTAGTACTTTTTGTGACAAGTCAATAAGGAAGGCACACACATTATTTGAATATCAAAATAGATTTGATGATGTTGGAAATTTTAAGACCACACATAGTCACACTAAAAAAAGGAAAGCTAAAATTAAAACCAAGAGTCTGAGTTTCTGTAACAGTCAGAGAAACAACTGAGACCAGTCCTCTCACCAGAAAAAGGGCTAAAGCAGAAACCACAGTAGGGGAAGGCTTTCCCCCAGAGCATGCAGCCATGTGATGGCTGCACCTACCCAGGTCGATCCATATTTACTGTCACCTCCTGCGAGGCTTTGGCTTATTTTCCACCCAAGTCACTTTCCACCCTCAGTTACCCTGAAATGATACTGGCATGGTTTGCAAAGAACTGATTTCTGGTATTAGCCTACCTTATCATTAGAACTATTTACTCTAATGTAAGCTTCTTTGAAAGTCACAGTAAACTTTCAGACTAGAAAAGAAAAAAGCCAACAACACAAAACAATGATTGAGCAACTATTACTTCATAAGGATAGCCTTGCTGAATCTCGAGAATGGCCTTTGATGTCTACATTCATGTGAGAGGGTAGAGAGGATGAGGCACAGTTGAATTGGCGTCTATCCTGTCTGGAAACAAAGCCAGTTCTTTCAATTGTCACATAGGGTACTTTACATCTTCTACTAAGTTTTCATAAGAGAAACATCTTTGTTTCCTGATGGAATAGTCTTTAAACAATATAACATTTGTAAAATGAACAGTATAGAGGTAAAGAAATGCCTTATTTAGTCTATTCAAGTCTAAGGGAAGAGCATGTAGTGTTTCCACTGGTCCCAGGGTTGTAGATCTTACCACACATCTGTGCTCAAATGGTAGTGGAAAGACTGGAAGCTACATACAAACAGCGGGGAATAACAATTGTGAACACTTGGCTGACTTACCCTTGAGTTAACCACTTCCAGGGAGATGTTCTGAGGCGGGGCGCTTGGCACTGAAAGGAATTAAACAAGGTGTGATGGTTATTGCCAAAGTCTTGAAAGGGAAACTATCTTGAAAAGAGAAAATGTCCTTTTCACCGTGTACAACGATATACAGATAGGTGGATACAAGGAGCTGATCAGTTTTCCTGGAGAGGGGAGAAGCAGCCACATTTGTTCACCTTTTCTCCAAATGTGGAGTGGTCACTTATCTGACAAGTTACCAGACTGTTAGGCAAAAACGTCCCTGCTGTGCCACCAAATAGTCCCGCTGCATCATGGCTTTTGTGTAATATCCTGCCTGGGAAATCCAATGACAACGCACAGAAGATTTCCAAAAGTAGTCTCAAAGCTTAAGATATGTACATTTGAGGCACTGAAATTTTATAAATAATCTTTTTAATCATCTCTTAAAAAGCGAAGGAGGAAATATTTCCCATTTTTTATCTGTACATAATTGAACCTGTGCATCATATGTGTAGACATTACCACATAGGCTTCAGCCAGCCAGTTCTATTAACTAAACAGGTTTTTCTTTGTAGATTTTCTACATATTTCACTACCTGCATTTCAATTTTCCTAGTCATTTGTGGAGGAAGGAAGAACATATACAACTCTTTTTCTAATGCTTATGATATCAAAAGTGTGACTATCATGTCATTCAAAGATGGCGGTCTTCATGGAGTAACTGTTCTGTATCAGGAACTGATCCAGATATCTGGGGTGAATCACAAATAAAAGGTCCTTCCCCACAACAGGAATAGAACAGTATTCAATAAATTCTTAACATATTAATCTATACATGAGCAGACCATATCCTCATTCATGATATATTGGTGAATTTATTAGAAATGAAATGTTTCACTTCCTACACTTTGAGGCAACTGGAAGAGTCTTAAGGCCATTTTTTAATGTTTGCCCTTCTTTTACTTTACTTTCGATAATATCTATGCTTTTCTATTGGTTGCTTATATTTTATTCTAAATTTAATTATACTTTAGTTTGAATTTGCCTTTTGAAACATAGTCACCATGAGGGGAAGGAGTATAAAGTATTTGATTGGCCTTAAAATACTCCAAGTGGATATTCAATTGTGAAATATTTATGAAATCAGTGACTGAAGGAGAAAATAAATCCTTACTTAATGTTGCTCCTAGACTTTAGTGGACCTATGGAAACTATAATCCTTTGTTTGGTTTGTAGTTTGAACTATTTGTCTTAGTTTTAATGCTTTAATAAAGACTTTACCAGACATAAAATATGACAAAATACTAACCTCATGGTTGTTTTCATGAATGAAACCAATGAACATTCTTACAAATCTATTCTATAATTTAGGAAATATTTCAGTACTTCTTAAAGATAATATTGTATTCCTAGTTTAAATGCAGTGTGTAGCCATCACAGCCACATGGACTACTGGGTTTCAGATAACTCACATACATGGTGTACATTAAATAAATACTAAGGAGCTACATTAATTAATAGAAGGATTGAAATGTCACAATAAATGTTCCTTCATATTCAGAGTTTCAGTCAAAGTTCTCAAATTTATCTTTTAAATTGAGGCATAAATTGCAATTTTAGTATAAATTGTTAAGCTATATAACTGTGAATATATGTATAAATGATTATTTTATAACTGAAATTGAGGTAAAATGAGATGATATGCCGTATATCAATATATTATAATTTTACAAATTCATGAAAAATATATTTTAAAAGCAAAGTTTTTAAATGATGTGACTGTGAAGTTATAACATAAATCAGTTCTTAAGCATAGAGAAGATTTCTAGTATAAATTTATTGTTGCATTGCAATATTTACATATGTCTTATTTCACTAATCCTTCACTAATCCTGTTACCCCTACTTTGAGGCCAATTCAATAATATCAAAAATAATTTCAGTAAGCCTAAGTAAATTTGTGATAGATGATTGAATTTTGGAGGAAAGACAAGGTATCTTAGATTTATTATATAGTTTTATCTGGATGCAGTGCTTCATATAGGACATGTAACCCTCACAGATCATCTTAACTTACATTTAAATGGTATTTTTCTCCTCATTTGAAGAGACATTAGATATATTTTCTGTGTTAGACATTGAAAGCCAATATCCTACAGATCTTTGTAATGAAGATGTTGATATATTCTGCTCATTCTACCTTCCCTTGATTACATATTAGCTGTTCAACTGATGCCAGGGAAGATGGAAAGTCCTTTTGACAGTGTGTCATTTTTTTTATTGGTGAGTCTTTCTCACTAACAACACCATATTATTTCAATATAAATGCAAAAGACAGTATTTAATATTTGGTAGAAGAGAAGAGATCTGGATTTCTCTTTATATATTTTCCCAAGATGTTTCATTGTTTTTCCAGACACAAAAGGAAGGACACTTTGTCTTTAAAAAGTCAAAGTAATTTATCATTTCCAATAAATCCATTAAAGTAATGAGAGGTGGGTGTGGAGGGTCCTGGTGCTTTATCACCTGGCGGTGAGGCGTTCTATGGGGGCAGAGCATATTTCCACATTCGTAAATTCCATTTTCCAAAGAGTGCTATTACTTACACTCATTTTAAAGTTAAAAAAACTCCCTCCTATTTAGTTTAGTGTGAATGTGAAGAGGCAGGCCCTGTGATACTCTTAACTCAGGAGGCTGGGGCAGAGGATCCCTGCAAATTTAGGCTAGCCTAGGTGTTATGGGTTGTGTCTAGATGTCTCTACGTAGCCTCATGCAGAGATAGTGGGTGCGCATTTTGGAGGCTGCTGATTCCAGAGTTTGTGACAGGTTTACTGTCTTGTATTGGGACTGGGGGTATGAGTGCTCTCCCAGTCCTAGAGGCAGGAGTCTACACATAGTACAGGGGAGGGAATGAGGCTTGTACATCCCCTTTTTACTCCAGTTGCTTTTGCTGTCTTCTGCTGCCAAGAACTGCTGTCCTGCACTTTGGAGCCAGCTGATTATGAACTGAAACCTCTATAAACTGTGAGCTAAATAAACCTAGCTTCCCTTAATTTGGGGTATTTTAATTTTGAGTATTTTGTCTTAGCAGTGAGAGAAAAGTCACTAAGACACTGGGCTACATAGTGGCTCAAGGCTGATCTGAACTATTGTACATAGCAAAATCCTGTCTCAAAAACCAAACCAAACCTAAATGAGACAGACCTAATATTTCATTATAAGATTTTTAATGATACTCTTATGAGATACTTCCAACAAAATAAGAGAAGTTTGTTTGCATGCTGAATATTGGTTCATTACTTACTCATTACTCGTTATTTACATGATTTGTTTCTACTGCTTATGAGCTTTTGTGAACACTTTTTAATTTACCATTGTCATTTCCTCAGCACAGAAATTTATGCTATTATCAGGAGAAAGGATTAATACAATGTACTTAGATCAATGCCTTATGCTAGCAATTCATCAATAAATATTGTGATAAACTGATAACAGTAATAAACATATTCTTTAGTTGCCTC